CCTCAGGCTGGCTGGGGAATTCTGGGAGTTGACGTCCACAGGTCTGAAAATTGCCAAGGTTGAGAAACACTGGTTTAGAGGCTTGGAATGTCTTGCCAAGAACTCCCCCAAGGGCTTGGAGCTTTTCTGACTAGAAGATCCTGCAAGTGAGGAGCAAAAGGAGGGTGTAATAGGAAGTTGCTCTTCCTCTCTTACTGGAATGGAGCCCTCGAGTCATCGGGCTGAAAGGGAAGAGGCGTGGGAATTCAGGTGTTGGCCTGCTAGGAACAGGGAGACCCGAGTTCCAGTCCTGCCTCACTCTCCGAAGCCCCCGGGGGATGCTCACTCTCCTGCACCCAGCCCAGTCTACTTCAGAGGGTGGCTGTGGGGAAAAACGGGGGAGAGAATCCTGTACAAGAGGCAAGATCAAAATCCAACCGACTAATAAATGAGTAAGAATCCGTGTGTTGAGCTCACGGCTGCAGGATAGGCCCTTTTGAAGACAGTTGGCACGCTTCAGTGCCTCTCTGTCCTCACAGCCTGGCAGCTTTCTAGCTACCCAGAAGAATGCCTGTTCTCCCACCGCCTTTCATAAGCTGAGATCAAGTTCCCCTCTAGCTTGCCTTACTGTTGCGGTAGAGTTTCCCCCGAGGACAGGAAGAAGTGAGCTGATCAGCTTTTTCATGGTGGGAGAGATCCAAACCATTTTTTCCCCAGCACTTTTTCTGCTTTATCGAGCAGCCTGATCCATATCTGCTCTCTCCCTTGGAAAAGTCCCATCTGGGCCTGACATGGGACCAAGGCTTACAACCCCAGTGGGTATCTAGTTGCTGAGGCTGCAAACCAAATGTTGGAGTCTGGTGGCATTCAGGAGCTGCAGCCTTTTAATAAAATGTGTGAGTCGGACAAGGGGCTACCCGACCCCTTCTCAATTTCGGCTACCGTAGGCTGACACGGCTCTCCTCCTGCAAGATCTATGGTGGGGGCAGTAATTGTATCCTAAATGTTGTTTATGCACATCTGGAGGGTACCATGTTGCAGAAGGCTCTTTCGCATGCAGCCAGAAGAATGCCTAAATGTTTTAGAGGGCTTGGAAGCCATTCCCAAAGCTGAATATTCCTTTTTTTTTTTTAATTTCCGGTTTGTTGCACCTCCTGCTAAAAAAGGCTTGCTGGTGTTGAGAAAGAATCCCGTTTTTTGGCCAAAACTCGGGGATGCTTTTACTGTGAGCAGATTCAAGGCAGAAGACACTTTCTTTCTCATACTGCATAGTCATTACGAACACTGAACTTTTGACCGCTCCTTCAACTCTTGTCAGCTAAGCCTACAAACGTCACAAATGCAGTGATATGGTAGACCAGTGTTTCTCAAACTTGGCAACTTTAAGCTGTGTGGACTTCAACTCCCAGAATTCCCCAGCCAGCCTGGGGAGAAACACTGGTCTAGACATATTGCTGTTGAAGACATGTTATATTGGCGAAATCTGTTGTGAAGTTCAAACTTTTTTTTTTTCCTGGATTCCTCCTGGTACCCAGCTTGTAATTTTCCGGTCCATTTACTAAGATGCGTCTTCCAGCTGTTCTACACCCACACTGCTGTGTTTACACAACACACTTAACAAATAAGGGGGACTTCCCAAAAAAAATCAATCAGCAGGTTGTGAGAACGTAGCCTAGGCTACGGCCTTTACGGATTTGTGTTGTTCAAATCCTGCGGTGTATGTCTAATAAGGGTCTGGGCAAAAAAAAAAGAAAAAAAAAAGTCAAGATGGTGGTCACGCTGGCATGATCAAAGCTGCAATGCACGTAAACCAAGCTTCAATTGCCCCGTCGTAACCACCACCTTGACGTTTTTGGGCAGACGGTGGGCAGATTGAGGATAGGAAGAGGTCTGCAAAGGACAGCAAAGGGGTCTTCTCAGGTGGGCTGGTCCTCCCAAGCGAGGGCCGGGACCTTTTTAATACCAGGAAAAGCAGCTCTGAATTGCCAGTCTATGCAACACGTGATGCTTCCAGATAGAATTTCCCCCCTCTCATTTTTAGAGATGCAAATGGGAGCATTAGGACCGCGTCTGTATGCAAAGCTCCCTCCTGTTCCTTAGCTTTGGGTATGACCTCTTTGCGTGCCGTCACTCCACGCGAAAACGTCCCAGGGGCAGGAGCCGTCAGATATCCAAGGGCTGTTGCTGGAAGCTAAGGAGGGGCACCTTGGCCGCGTCTTCCTGTCTGCTTTGCAGAAACATCCTGTTGGAGAGGCTGCCGATTCACGGTTCCCAGAGACTGGAATGGGGCCTTGCCTGCATGCCAGCCCTGGGCGTGAAGTTTCTTGGCATCTCCTTCACCAATGGCTTTTTGAAACAAAGAGAAAAAGCCATTGATAAAATGAAACAAAGCTGCATTGACTAACTAGATTTCTACCCGTGTCTGAACTACGCTCTGTGCATTCTCAGAAATCTGTCTTTTCCTGACAGCGACAGAATGACTAGCCCTGACCTCATCTCATCGGCCTGAGCTGGTCTGTGCTCCCTCCTTGCTCTCGCTTGTCAAGCAGCCATAGATGCTGGGCTGGCAGAAGGGGCAGCGGAGAATTTTGGAAGGAACAGCCAGGGATCGCCAAGCTGACTGTTAGTTTGACGCATTGTTTGAAAAAGAAACGCTGAAGCATTTGGAGCTTCTTGGGCTCTGACCAAACGACATGACTGTAGTGTGCAAAGCTACAGACCGCTTCATCACCTCCCTCGCAAGGCAACTGTGGTTAAGCACACTCGGCCATGCTCCCCTCCAACCAGCAGCTCTACAGGCCACATCCCAACCCCCCCACCCAAGATATTTCTGCCACAATTCCTGGCACCTTGGCTGGTTGTAAGGCCTCCTTGGACTGGCAAGCAGGGCGCTGATACTTCTGCTGCTTTAACCAGGGTGGGAAGCAGAGCGTAAAGCAAGAGAAGGAAAGTGGGCTTGCCGGTTCCACCTGCCCAAAGACATCTGAAGGGCTCTTTCCTGTGCAGCCACCTGCCTGGCTCCCTCAGGCACTGGAGCAGGTCTGGCAAGCTTTCACCTTGCGCTGCCCTTGAGATGCCACCCTGCGGGTACCACTCTGGATGCACCAGCCGGGAAGCCTTCCTGAACCAGGCGCTGTGTCTCGGAGGCAGCGGACACTTCATTTAATAAAGCCAAAGCCCCAGAGAACCGTGCCCAGGGCAGGTGGGGCAGCAGGTGGTGGTGGTGGCATGCCAGAGTCACAACAGCAACCCAAGCTGGCTTGTGGGAATGCCCTGTGGGCCCCACTCCTGCCTTCCAGGGCCTGAACTTCAAGGGGAGGAGCTGAGAACCAAAAAGAGACTCCCGCGGGAAGTCCTTGCCCCAAGGAGGGCAGGTTTTCTTTCTTTTTTTAAAAAAGAGGGCTGCTATCTCCAGCACGAGAGGAAACAGGCCACAGGGTGATAAGGACACTTTGGCAGGCAATTCAGACACTTTGGTTCCTGTTATCTAGTGGGAAGCCACAAGATATGCGGTGGCTGCAATATTTATGGCCAGGCGTGTGCAGGCAGGCCACTGGGTCATTCTACTTCTTCTAGCTCTGCCTTGCCCAAGACACGGTTGCCTTGACCAGAAGGGCCAGCACCTTAATTTAGGGAACTGGATGGTCAGAGGGCTTTTGAATTCCAAGCTTTCAGGGCTGATACAGAACAAAGAAAAGCACGGGAGCTTCTTAAAAAGATCGTCCCTGGGTGCCTTCCTCCTAGTTTAAGACTGCTGGCCGTGCCACGGCACCACCAAAGGGACTGAAGGCGCGAAGGGCAGCCTTCTTCACTTGGGCTGATCCTGGCAGAGCCCCCTTTTTACCTGTTTGCCCTGCCTGGCCTCAGAGGACAATTTCATTCCACGAGACCAAGCCGTTCCCGGCCAGCTCGGCGTAGGACAAAGTAGGGAGACCAGATGCTCCTTACAAATGCAGTCAGGGCTGGAAGGGAAGATCAAACGAGGGCTGTGCCTCAGTAGTTCCTCAATGCAACCCCCCCACATACCTCCCCCCACTTCTGCACTATTTTAAAGCATGAAATGCATGAAACTCTCAGCCTAAAACCGGCCCAAACGTCACAGGAATGAGAACGCTGATTGCAGCACCCACCCAGGGACTTTCCCCGCACCCTGTATCCTGAAAGGCCCCCCCCCCCATCAGCACCTTCCTTTTAAAGGAAGAGAAGTGAATGGAAAGAGTAGCGCCAGGGCTGAGTGCCTGCCTCCACCCCCGGGAGGGAAAGGCAGCCTGGCCCCAGCGCAGCTCCAAAGGACCACCCTCGGTGGCCGGAGGTGGGCTTCGCTTGGGGAGGCTTTTCAAAATGACAAAAGAAAAGCACTTGAAACAGCACTTGCACACGGGTGAGCCTGCGCTCAAGGGGCCCCAAATGTTTCTACCATGAGAGCTTTGCTTTCCTCTGAATGGGCCAGTCTGGCCAGGAGCAGAAGACAAGAAAAAGGAGTTCACTCCCACTCTTATTCCAAAGGAGTTTTTTTTAATTTATTACTTTTATTATTAATATTATTATTACCGAGGCAGGTGTTTTTTTTTTTGTCCCGCATACAGTTCAGTCTTATGATTAAACAAGCCCCCAAATTAAAAAGACAAGAATTCAAATAAATACAGGAGAAAGCTAACTGGCATTTTAAAAAGGCAGGCGCGCTCTGTCTGGATAAATGAACCACACGGAGAAGGAAAAGAGATTAATCGGAGAAAGTGGGGGGGGGGACAGTAGCTAGTGGTTGGTCTTGGGGGACAGGAGAGCCCTATTTGGGGTGCACATGAAACTCAGAGAGCGCATCTTTAAGAATCAGGGTTGCTGCTTCTTCCCTTTAAAATCAGCCATCCTCCCCGTCCCACCCCCAGGCTTTAGTTCAACTTGGCTGGTTTTCTTTTAAAAAAGACCGTGGTGCGTAGAAACTATCACACAGTGATAACGAGATCGTGGTTATTTCAGGATCAGCCCTTCGGAGTGTTTCTTGGGTTTCGTTTTTCAAATCTGATTTTCTTTGACTGTACAGAATATACAAAAAAAGGGAAGGGAGAAGGATTGTACCCCAGGGCTCCCCCCACCAACAGAAGGAGATAAGCAAAGGTTTAAAAAGTGAAATCCAATCCGTTTTTTAAAAATTACCCCTATCCGGGGGGGGGGGGGTTGCAAACAGCCCAGGGGTGTCTGTAGGGAGGGGTGGTCTATAAAGTCAAGAGGGAGGTCAGAGCCACAAAATCGAAGCTCCGGGATGTGCATAAAAAAGGGGCAGGACTTCGATCTCATAGCTGTGCCCGCCATCTTGATGTTTTGGACCCTCCCTGCAAATACTCCTGAAACAGCCACCCGCTCCGCTGCTCACCTCGCATAGACACGTGCCAGCCCTTCGCAGAGCTGCCTGCATCTCGTTCCAAAGGCTTCCCTGGCCAGGAACAGAGCGGCTGGCAGAGGCTGGTACCTGCCCATCCCAACTTCAGCTTGGCCAATTCAGGGCAATGGAGAAGCCCAGGAGCACTGCGGAAGATGGGAGGCACCGGGGGGGGGGGGGGGGGACAGCCTGCCGCTGAGGCTTCCCATCCCTGCCACCGCTTTGCTAAGAATTTACAACAGCCCCCCAGGTGGTGGATGGCCTGGCCCAGAGGGGACTCGGTGGGGACCCCCAGAGCAGCGAGCATGACTTCTCGCAACTCTGTCGGTGCCCCCAAATTGGGCAGAGGTGGCTCCACGTCCTGCTTAAGAGGGAGCAGCAGGCCAGATCCGTTCGGAGGGCAGGGGGGTTAATCTCCAGCTCACTTGACTAGGGCACGTTTCTCTAACGTGTGCAACACGAGGCCAAACCCAGCCAGTTTTTTTTTATAGTGTTTTTGATCAGGCTTGCCAGCTGCAGGGTGAGTTACAACAGGGCTTTAAAAAATATATATATATACACATATACACAGCTGCAGGCCCTCCAATAAGACATGAGGGTCGAAAGAAATGGCTCCCCCTACCAAACAGATCCTGACTTTAAACACTTGATCCCCTTCCCCATTCTTGGTCCCAGAACGTGCCCTCTTTTCTTTCCCAACCTTTGATTAAAATTGGCTGCCAAAATGACGTATTCAGAGCCGGGGGGGGCCATCTCCAACCTGTGGCCCCTCCTGACAGCACCAGGTTGGGGAAGGTCGCCTCATGCCATATGTACCAGCACCCCAAACAATGCCCCCTCTCCAATAATGCGGCCCATGGGGGGCCGGCGCATCTTTTGCTTTTAACAGTCACCAGGCCTGCCAGTTTCCTTGGCACTCAAAAACAAACCCCAAAACTAGCCCCACGTGACAAATGCAGTTTGGTTCTGGCCAGAGGACAGGGGAAGCAAGAATCGAAGAGGGAGGGGGGCTTTATTGCTGAAAAGGACTCCTCCCACACAGGCTGAGCAACTGGACCGGCTGCTGCAGGTTGGTGGCTTTAAAAAAGAGGCAAAGGAAAAAATACAGCCGATTCTCCAAGAGCTGACTGCTTGCTTCGAGCTGTCCACAGAGGTCACATCTGGATGCTGCTGCAAACACAGTCCACCCACCCACCCGGAAGCAGGAACAAATTCCTATTGGCTCAGGACAAGGAGATCCAGCTGTTTTCACAACGGGGATGACTTCCATTCACTGTCCTACCTCTCAAGGTCACCAAGGAGGAACCCTGCAGGGTGGGCTTCACAACATTCCTCCCCCAGACTTTTCACCATCCCCTCAACCCCTGTCCACATTCGCAAACCCATTTCTCCTGCCACAAAACCATCACCACCAGCAAGGAGGGGCCGGGACATCCCATATCTAGCCTGCAGACAAGCACGGCTGGCTTGCTGGTCAACCCTGCCCCTCTTCTTTGTTTCCTTATGGGCACTTCTTTACCCCTTGGCCTCCCCTGCCCCTCCCTTACCTTGGCCCCTTCAGAATGAGGGCAAAAGCGGAGGAGAGGCCTATTTGGATATCCTGCCTCTTCCAGGATACCTGGCAGTGAAAGGAGGTGGGGGGTGGAGGAGAATGACATCCATCTCCTCTTCCAAATAGTGTTGCTGCTGAGCGAGGAATGCCCAGAGTATCCCTGGTGCAAATCAGAAGGGCTGAAGAGGTGGAAAGCTGGAGCAGAGGCAGAGCAGGGACAACTTGGTGGCTCAGAAGGAGCAAACGTTGGCACTCGATTTCCCCCAGATCTTCAACCACGAGCCCCTTAGCCCACGCCGTGGGTGCCAGTGGCAGGACAAGAGAACGGCCTGAAGCTGAAGACAACGAAGGGGCACCCTGCTGCATCTTGTCCATCTTCCTTTGAACGCAGCAAGAAGAGTCGGCGTGGCTTAAAACCGGCCCCTCTGGCCCAAAATGTTTGAAAAAAACGTCCTTGGTCAACAGTGCCGGGGGGCGGGGAGCGGAGAGACTTCCAAGCCCCTTTCCCAAGATGGCAAGAGGCAGATGCTCGGGGGTCTAAAGCTAGAGCCACAGCTCAGTCCGTGATTCCCTCCCCCTCCAACGCAACGGGGGCATTTTCCGCTCCCTGAGATGGGAAATAAAAACCACACGGCCTTGAAATGAGTGGAAAATAGTTTGGTGCTGGTGAAGGTGAGCTCCAAGCTGAAGGAAGGAGCTGCCAGGCCCTCATTGCCCTGCAGTCCAGCAGGCATCACTCCTGAGCTCAGGTGAGATGGTGGGGGGGGGCCTGGCGGGCAAGGGACGCGCTGTTAGCACCACTGGCGGGGCCAGAGAAAGAACGAAGCGGAGGAACAAGGAGCCTGGGAGAAGAAGAGAGGCCCGTGAGGCCGCCAGGAGACTGGGGAGGCCGCCCAGCCGTTCCTGTCCCCCCACCCCACAAGCACCGCTTACCTGCAGGTTCCGCCTTCCCTTCATATGAAGACCTTGGCAAGGGCATCGGCCCCCGCACTTGCGATCAGGGCCTTGCTGGGGTGGAAGGCCACGTCGTGGATGGCTTCCTCATGCTTTTTGCGGTGGGCTGTGATCTCCTGTGTGCACGTCTTGTTACCCAGGTTCCACAGCCGCAGAGAACAGTCGTGGCCTGTGGGAGAAGCAGAGCTGGGAGGCACCCACGACCACACACACGCGCACACACGCGCGCGACCCTCCTGGGCTGCCAGGGACTTCCCGCTCTCCTGGCACAGCTGCTCTGGCAAAAAGCAGAGGCCAGGCTGGGCTTTTTTAGGGCCAAATGGCATCTTCCCAAGGGCGGAACTTAGCCAGGGGCTGTCAGCGCCTGAATCCAAGGCTAGGGAAGACCTCAAACAGAAGCTGAGTTTCTGAGGAGCCTCGCGCACTACAGCTTCACCCTTCCTGTTTCCTTGCGCTGAACGGCACGTGGGAAGCTTTGCTCAAGGTTACGCCCAGGAGACAAAGGACAAGGTACCTACTTCCCGACATAAGGAAGACTCCATTGGGATCCACAGCGAGGCAGGTAACCGCATCCAGATGGGCCACCATGGAGTGCACAGCTTTTCCTGGGCAGAGACGGCGAGGGAGGGAGAGGAAATGAGTTCAGAGCTAGACCAGATCCTGCCAGCTTCTTTCCACCCCCAGAACAAGGGGCTGTCCCCGTTGTAACGAAGGAAGCCGAGGCCACCGGGCCGCCCTACCTGTCCTATTGTCTAGGAAGCGGATCCCTCGGTCATCGTGTGCTGTGATCGTGATAGACTGGGTCGGATGGCTCACAACTTGGTTGATCTGACTGGCTCCTGTCCAGAGGGAAGTGAGGGGTTAAGTCCAGGCCGAGAGGGGTTTGCCTGAGCCAGAAGCCTGCCAACTCGATGGATAAGGGCGGGCGAGGACATCAACCCTGCCGTCACAAACCGGCTAGAATCTGTATTCAGTGGGCTGGAAGGAGAAAAGGTGCCCACGCATTTCCCTAGATCAGTGATGGCGACCCTGACACGCATGTCAAAGGTGACACGCCACGACACTTCGGGTGACACGCCAGCATTCACCAACCCCCGACCACAACTCTTCTCCCTGTTTGAGTTACCAAAGAAACTGAGTTTGTTTTACTCATATTTCATTTTTGATATTATTTGACATTTCTTTATATAATACATAACTCCACATGATTGGGCTGCATTTTTTAAAAATAAATCAATATGTAAAAAATTGTCTCTCTTTTGTTCGGGGGGAGGGGGCGTGACACGCCAGCAGAATCAAGTTAGGCATTTTCCAAATTTTTGACATGCCGAGCCCAAAAGGTTCACCATCACTGCCCTAAATTTATGTAAAGTGTTCACTGGAATTATCATACTGAACTTCAGCTTGACCACAAAGGTGACCCCTTAACTGCACAGAGCTTGGCAACTGTGTAAAGAAAGCATTTGCAGGAACTCAAGGTGGCAAGCACCATCTTCCAAAGGCATTCTCCTGTTTCCCCTAGCCACCTATCAGGACAACCCTTCCCCCAAGCTAAACCGCAAACAAATGAGTTTTAGAACTATTCATTGCACTCATGCAATTTTAAAATGCGATCTGCCAAACTAACATTCACAGGCGGAAACCCACAAAAACTCCAAAGAGCCGTTCCCTTGGGAAGCAATTCTCTCCCTTTCCATTCAAGGAAGCAGCCGACAGCCCCGGCCCCCCAGCTCACCACTGGCAGGTCTAGACTCGAGGGTCAGGATGGGGCAGGCAGCCTCCATGTCGTAGAGAACCGCCCTGCCTGTCTGGAAGGCTGCCACAACACATGTGGGATCGGTACTGGAGAAGGCGACGGAGGTAGGGACTCCATTTTCTGCAGAGGAGGACGACAGGGACAAGGGTGGAGGTCAACCCCAGACACGCCACAAACAGTGTGGAGCAGCTGAAAGTCACATTCAGACGAAGAGGAGGCCCCCTTGTGTTCCTGGAGGCCACCTTCTACATCTGTTCCCTACAAGTCTCAGCGGCATCTTATACAACTTCTCTTAAAATGCTCTGTCACCTGCCATTCCTATTTAGGAACTCAGGGAGCCAGAGTCTGTGCTGTAGGGAAACCTCAAATTCGCACAGGACACGAGCAGACAGGGCCTGGCTTTCTTCCCAAGAGCAGCGGACCAAACCAAGGCCCAGCTCCGTAGGTGCTCTTAACCCCCATGAAGCTGAAACGGGTGTTACGAGGTCATGATGCAAGCTCTGCCCTCGGGACGCGCCTCGTATACAAGGAAGTAAAGGGTGGAGTTTGCGTCCCACCCTTGTCGTGCCTGAGCAGTCCCGTGCCCCCTTCTGCAGGAACCCGCCCCCAGCTCACCGCTGTCTGTGTTGTAGGTGCTAAGGCAGGAACTGCTGCTTGGATCCCATATCCTCACAGTGCCATCCGCTGAGCAGGAAGCCAAGCGATTTCTTGAGAAACTGAACGCGAGGCTCCAGACAGCATCCATGTGGCCATCCAGGACGCTGTTGAGCACACTTGGATCTGCACCACAAAGACAGACAACATCTGCACCCTTTGCTTGGGTCAGACTGCACACAGCAAGCGGGGGGACAGCTCAGAGCAAGAGGCGCTGTGGTCTGGAACACCGAATTTAGAACTCAGGGAAAGAAGTCTGTGCCTGCAAGCTGCTTAGATTGGGTTAGGGTGAACTAGCACCAAAGTCTTGGTAATAAATGAATCATATTTACAGATTCCCGCCCAAATACATATATTCCCAGGTTAGACTAAGAAAACTGCTGAACCAGCCATTCAAGAAAACGGAAAAGCGCCACTTATCCGAATGGTAAAAAAGCCAGCTGGGGAAGATGAAAAGCCTTCTCCCTGGAAGTGAGCTTCTGGATCAGGATGAGGGACAGTTTGAGTACGCAACCATGGTACCACCGTAACTTTTAATCCATGCTGTTGGTGATAAATCATTCCTCCCGCTCAACAAGTTTGTGGAGGGAACGATACAGCAAACCCTGCATCTCCCTTTCTCCATACAACTTTGTCTCCAGTTCTAAGCTTACAAGGCAAGTCGGTTTCTGACTCCAAACAGTAAACCTGACTCTCCATCCAGCCTTCATTTCTGAATTAAATTTTGCAAGCAGGGAGAGAGGATGCTGCTGAATTAGGGGTGTTTCCTACCATAGCCGTCATAAGGATCCATGCTGAGATCAGGGATCTTCCAACAGCGGATTCTCATGTCTGATCCACCGCTGTAGCAGTATTCGCTGTTGCAACCCATGGCCACAGAGAGCACCGGGCCCCTAGCAGGGAACATGACAAGGGCGTGAGAAGGACTAGAAGAAGCGAGGAGGAGCTGTACGTTAAAATAGCAGGGCCTTTCCAAACCGATATGAGGAATCTTGGGAATCCTTGGAAAGATGGTTTCGTCAGTCTATCAGACTGCCTCTGTATGTTGAGTGCTGGGTGGGGCATCCAAGATTGGGTCTCAGCTTAAGCGGGTCAACAAGGATGCCCAAGAGCCGGCTGGCCCTCTTCATCTGACAAAGTTCTTTGGAACATGCCTCCAAATCCCCTGCTGAGCTTCTTCAGCAAAGCAGCAGCACAGAAAAAGTTCCAGGTGGTGAACCAGGCTGTCAGTCCGCCTTTGCCAGAGGTGGGCATTCTGGGAGTTGTGGCACATCTGGAGGACACCAGGCCAGGGGAGGCTTCTGAAGAAACAGCCTTCCCCCCAGCCGGGCTCCCTCCCCAGAGAGGGGGAATACTGCACTTAGGGCTCTGATCGCCCGGGTGTTCTGGCCCAATGGGGCTAAAGGAAGTTTAGCAGCTGCTCGAGATCGAGGACTTGGATTTTGACCGTTTGGGGAAAATGCTTTCCCACCTTGTGGATTGCTTCTGAGGTTCTCAGGGCTGTCCATTGTTAGGCAGGGCACAGCAGCAGAGGGGGGCAGCTGCTGGGGGGGCGGGGGTCAGAAGTAAATTGCCACATTATGTTTTATCATTGTACTTTCCTGCAAGGGGAAGGGTGAGGAGCCGACGGCGTTTTCTGCCATGGGCACCAAGCAACTAAACCACATTCCTGGAGGCAGGAGATGGGTGCCTTCGTGGCTTTGCCTCAGGCAGAAAAATATCTCGGGTCAGTTCGTTCAGGCCAGTGGTCAGCCAGGGAAACCGCTTGCAGCAAGCGCATCTGCGCACCTGTGTCCTCTGAACGCATAGACGGGCTCCACATCCAGTGCGGCATTCCTGTAACCAGGAAAGAAGAGGGAAGAGCAAAAAAATCAGAGGGGTCACCTCGACTTTGGCTCTTTTTCCTTGATCATCCTGCTGAGTTTCCCCAGGCGTATCCTAATCCTAGATCATCATCTAGTCTGCAGCAGCTTAACTTCAACAGAGAGTTGAATCAAACAGTGCCCACTGCTTGTCTCGCCAAGCAGGGTTGCAGAAAGACTCTAGCTTGGGTACCCAGGAGAGCAACTGCTGGTCACAGCAGATCACAGGTGGATTAAGGGCTCCGTTAACCCTTCCTTCCCCAACCTGGTGCCCTCAAGAGATGATGACCGACAGGACTTGCTCCGGTCCTGTAGAAAGGCCGAGAGTGGTCTAATCAGCTGGTGCTGGGCCATCACTGCATTTCAACCATAGAAATTCTTGAGCAGAAGTCATGCTGCCTCCATGGATGGGCCCCTGGCCCTGCTCCCGGTGAAGAGGGAAGGTTCCCTTGGGGCTCACTTTTTGGCAGCAACCGTCTTCTGAAGGTTCCACAGCTTCAGGGTGCCGTCCTCCGAGGCAGTGACCAGAGCTGACTCCCTGTGGTGGAACACCAGGGCTCGGATACCATCATAGTGACTCCGCAGGGTGAACTTCGGGTTCCATGTCTTTTTAAAAGCGTCTTTGCTGTCTGAGAGCTGGAAAAAGAGGGTGGGGAGAGGAGGAGGAGAGAAGGACCAATCATCCAGGGATGGCTGTGGAATCTGCCTCCTGCTCTGCAGACACTTCCCTTTACATAGCAGCATAGTATGGCTGCAGTTAGATGAGCCAGAGGGACTTGAGAAGGCAGGAGAAGAGACCACAGACTGGCAAGACCCACAGGTGGCATCTCCAAGGCTACTCACATCGCAGCTTAGCTCATTGTCATTGGTGACAGTCAGGTCTGCGAGATCACCCAAGCTGACCTCTCCCCCTCCGATGGTGTCCATTATAAACACATCCGAGGAGAAGCCCAGGGACCCTGATTTGGGGAAAGAAGATGAAACAGTTGGAACGTGGCCGAGTGAAGAAAGAAGGATGCTTTGGACAGAACCACAAGAAAGGTAAATTGGAGGTCATAAAGTTTAGAGGTCTAACCAAGTCATCACCTTCATGGGATCTGGGCTGGGTAGACATGGCTGATGGTATGGACGGCTTGGGAGGAAGCCCGTCAACGTCTCGGAGATCAGCCAGCATACCTTGCAGCTTCACCCTGCGGGTCCCTGAAAGAAAGAAAAGGGAAGACTGAGTCAGCCTCAGCAGTTGCTAATCGGTTGTTACAGGCACTGTTTTGAAATTCATGGAGCACAAAGTTGTCAGAGGTCACTGGTCACCATGGACAACAGCGGAGGCAGGAGGCCTCTTGATGCCAGTTGCCCAGGACATGTTTGAAGGGTACAACTGCATCTGTGTCTTGCTTCTGCCCTTCCCAGAGAGCACTGGTTGGCTCCTTCACTGGATTTTGGGCTGACAATGACAGGAGGCTTCTCCTGTTCCTAAGCAAGGAGCAGTCTTCTGACCCACAGCAGCTAAGAGGACAAAGCTGCTGCTGGAGTTCAAGAGGTATCTGATGCAGCCTCCCCACTGATGTAACTGTCTTCTGACATTTCCACTTCCTGATACCCTTCACTGATAAGGAGGGAGGAGAAATCCGTCAACTCCCCAGAGAACGTACCGAGTTCATTACCGTCTCCGGCATGCCGGGTGTCTCCAGCACCATCCCCATTCTCCCCAGAGCCCAAGAAGTCAAACTCGCTCAGCGCATCCTCAGAGTCTTCATCGTCATCTTCATCCTCCACTTCAGGCATCAGAGGCTTGTTGGTGAGCTGCCAAGAAGGTCATGGCCAGCAGAGCTTGGTTAGGCCTAATTTTTAGAGGATTCCACTAACTTGGCAACAGAAAAACAGTTTTCCTGTCCTGCAGTATTGGAGCATGACTGAGACAAAGAGGCTGTAAAATATTCAGGTCTCTTTGTCCCCAGAATTGAACACAAGGGAAAAATACCCCCAACGAGACCTCTAATGCTCAGGATAGACAATTCTGTTGGGAAGCTACGCTTCTTCGGTGAATGAGGGCTACCGGACAACTGCAGCGGGCTCGCATTTTGATTTCTTGACTTAAAAACAAAAGGGAGTAAATTAAAGGATCAAAAAACATGGCAAAGGACACAAACAATACCATCCACCGTGAATGATATCCAATGATTTCAGCGGAAAACCCTGATTTATAACCCAGACTAGGGATGGGCAAAACGGTCACGTTCTCGGAATGCTTCCAAAATGCCTGAGAGCTCGCTTTGCGCTCAAAACACCCGTTCAGAGTAGCATATTCCATGCTCAAGGTGTGGTGTTTGGCTTTTGAGATCCTATCGCGATAGTAGCTGAAATCCAATTTCCGTGCTAAATCATTAGGCTCTGATCCTCACCGGAGACCAGGCCCCCCTCAAGAGCGCAGCCTCCTGCCTTCCTTCGAGCCCCTCTCTGCTCCAAGCAACATCAACGCCTCGAGGAGGGAAGGGGTACCTTTACTCGCTGCTTCTTGTGCTGCCGCTGCGTTTCCAGGGGCAGACTTTGCAGATCCTCCTCCTCGTCACTATCGTCTTCCTCGCAACCCCTCAGAAAGGGGATCTTCTCCATTACGGTGCTACTGATCCGGTCCTTCGCTTCCTTCCCCGCGTTCCTGTCAGAAAGAAGAGAGGACACTAAGAAGGCCCCAGGCCAAGCAGAAAGGAGAGAGGAAAACACAAATGAACAGAAGCAGCAGGCGAGGTGTCATTTGTGGATGGGAGCCTGAACAGCCAAGAGGCCAGAAATACATCCTTCTCCCCATCCTGGGCTCCCTTGTCTGACATCTTCTGTGCAAACCTGACCCAACTTGGTCTACAACTGTCCTTTAGCGGATGGGTCATGATGTTCTGGACCTCCACAGTATCTCACACAAGCGGGGACTGGCTTTCCTTTTTTCTCTTTTCCCTTTTTCTACATAAAAAATCAAAGCAATCAGAAAGCTTGGCTCGACTCCATATTTACCAAGCTCAGGTCTGGGCATCGACTGCTGGGGTGGGGGGCGGGCAGGAATAACAACCATGCATTATGACATTGTTTTGGAAATGCCTCACCTTATACAATGGCATTAGAGATCAGGATGCAAATACCTCATAGCATTTACACCATGATGTCATTTTTGGGGTGTGCCGCAGACACCCAGGCGCTCAAGACCATCCCCAGCAAGCTGCATCTTTCCAGACTCTATTGTTGCCACTCTGAAGTGAAACCTTATGTCTCACGTGGGCATTTACTGGGGCAACCTATTGAACATCAAACAAGAAGTACCAGGAGAGACGGCACTAGGGAGGCACCCAATTTCATTGTTCCAGGGAATCTAACAACAGAAACAATAGATGGGCAGACATAAACCGAACGTCACGGCGAGGTCTTCCTCTGGAACACAGACCTACGCACCAAGCCCATCCTCACAGCCGCTCACCTTTTGATCTGCTCCTCTATCTGCTTGACGAGAAGGGATTCCCCTCCGTTCAGACCGGTGGCCCCCACAGCAGGCCCAGGCCCCAAGCCACCGGCTTCAGCAGCACCATTCAGCTCCACGGAGCAGCGGCCCAGCAGAGAGCGGACTCGCTTGGAACGCATGTCGAGGATGGTGTCCGTGTAGCCCACCTCTTCCAAATACCTGGAGAGACCACCAGTTCCAAGGGAAAGGCCTCCTTTAGCCTAACGTGCAGGTTGGCAACAGGCAGCCCCAAGGTCAAAACTCATGCTGGGCAAAACCTTCCCCAGCGTCCTGTTTCAAGTCTGAAAAGCGCTCTTCTGCTTTGACTGGAAGCATTCTTATGCTCTTCCAACTAGGCCGGAGGTGTTCCAAGCTTGAAACAGCCCAGTTTTGCTTGGCGGGGGCTCTTGCAAACTCAGAAGACATCCAGGACAGGACTGGGGCGCTTCCAGCAAGGATGGAACAGCTGTGTCAAACTTGGACCAGACGGTTTCAACTTGGCACATTCCATCTTGGAAGCATCTGGGACACCTCTAGTCAAAACCGTCCAGAAAGCAGCTTGCCAAAGGGGCCGACAGCTCAAGAATCAAAGGGGCCGACAGCTCAAGAAGCACTTCCCCTCCCTTGGAGAGCCTCACCCTTGAAAGCACCTCTACTCACTGGCGGAGGAGTTGGCGCCCTTCTTTCCACATAAATGGACTGCTTTCCAGCGAAATGGGTTCTGCTGGCCCGTTAGATACTAAATGTAAAAGAAAGAAGATTCCCGTCAGCGAGTCCCTTGACTCCTGGGGCCGTTCCAACAGCAGCCCTGGAACCAGAATCTTCCTGGCAGAGGTGCAGCAGTGAGCCCTACCCCTCTACCTGGTTCAGATGACTCCGGTTTCTTTTCTCCCTGGTTCAGTTCAGTGCCAAATTTCAACTTGTGGTACTTTGACCTGGAATTAACAAGGAAACCTTAGGAAAGGTTGTGGGACGTAAGTTCAGCAGTAAATTCTTGCCAGGCCCTTTAAAGTAAGGAGTGCCTTCAAACCAAACGGCGGATGTCGTACTCTGACAGCGTTCAGAAAAGAGAGAACTCCCCACAGCATTCTCTCCCCTTCCAAAATCTGGGCTTTGACTTCCGACTTAATAAACTAAGGTGTATCTATGTCCCGCCTCTGAATCTCCACTTGGACGCTGTGGAGGGGACATGATGACCACAAGGTGGCTCACCTTTCTTGCTTCAAAGCATACTCGAGCATCTTTATTCTCCGCACAAGGTCTGCCTTCAGGTTCTCCTGACCCTTCCTTTCCCCCTGCAGAAAGGCCACTTGTGCCTAAAAGGGGAGGAACCAAACGTTAAGGATGTGCAATTCTGACCACCTGGACAAACATCCCACATCGTGCCAGAAGTGGGCGTTATGAGCATGAACCCATGTCAATGAAGTACAAGAGAAACACTTCCGATCATGGAATTAGCCCGCCTCTCCCGCTTATGCGTTCCTTCCTCTCATTAGCTTAACTGTCCAGATGTTACAAGACCCTGAACATCAATATGACTTGAAACAGAAAGAATGGTGACCTGGATGAGAAGAAAAACCTACATCAGGCCTTGAGAGCTGCAGCGGGGATTGGAAAATAAGACCAAGAGGCAGGAAAGTGCAAAGAAAAACCTCAGTGGCATTCAGAGAGCAAAGCTGTGTGTTGATGAGAGACCCACCGAGGCACAAGCTGGTCTACATTTTCAATAGCAGTTAGTAAGCGATGGTAAAAATCCATACCTTCCTCCCTTGAGTAACCAGATGGGTAAGACTGAGAACAACCAATTGCAAACCATTTGAGGTCTTGCCCCTGCTGCCAGTTCCCCCTTTAAAGTTTGATAGGGAAAGCTGTGTTTGCAAATACGAGTAACGGGAAGCATTGGATAGCTTCCAACCTGCCTCAGATCTTTCCTTTTTGGGGAAGGTTGTTCAGAAAATGGTCAGGCTGCAGCTTCAGAGGCCCTTGAAGAAGCAGACTATTTAGACCCCTTCCAGTTGGGTTTCAGGCTGGACTATAGCATTGAGACAGCATCGACCGCACCTGGGGACAATCTCTGGGGGGCTCAGGATGGAGGCGGTACAATTCATCCCGGCCCTCCTTAATCTCTCAGCAGCTTTGAATACCACTGATCATGGTATCCCTGTGGCCCAGCTGAGGGGGTTGGAAGTGAGGGGCCAGCATTGTGGCAGTTCTTCTTCCAGTGTTGGAGGGAGGAGGTCCAGCCCAAGCTCCTGTTCTGGGGGATTCCACAGGGCTCAACTCTTCCCACTCCTATGTGACATCTATATGAAGCTCCTGGGGAAGGTCATCTGCCTGCAGTTTTCAGTATGACCAGTATACCGATGACACCCTGTTATATCTTTCTACCCTGGGCTGACCAAGGGATGCAGTCAAAGTTTTTTCTCAGGGTCTGGAATAACAA